AAAGCATCTCTGTTCTCTCCTGGGAATCACCTAATAGCCTTTTGGGGCAGGTACTATTACCATGCCCATTTTATAGATGAAAAAACTGAGGTTCAGAGAGTCTGGTTCAGCGTGCACGAGGTCCTAGGTCCCGTCCTTAGCACAGCGAAAAGGAAAAGGAAAGAAGTCCTTAGAAGTGTGATTACCTTGCCAAGGACCTCATTTTGTTTTATTTAAGACAGGGTTTTAATATGTAGCTCAGGCTGGCCTCAAACTCTATGAGCCTCCTGCTTCAGCCTCCAAAGTACTTGGGGCTCCAGGTGTGCCTTTCCCATGATAGCTTGTAAACTCCTTAAATGCTTGGCTTTCTTTTACCCTATCTACTTCTAAATTCCCAGTGCCTATAGCAAGTTTGCTATTTAATAAGGAATTGACGAATATTTGCTAAATGAATAAATTTGACATTTTTTTTTTTTTTTACAATGGGGGCTCCTGGGCACTGCTTGCTGCCCCTGCAGGCAGTTCCTGCGTGCAGCACAGTCCTGTTGGCACGCCCCCAGCTACTATTTCTGCAGTAGAGACTGGGACCCAGGATCAGAATCAAATGCTGAGCTCTCTGCTCGTGCTCAGCTGTGAAGAAAGGCCAGAGTCAAAAAACAAAAGTTGAACTTGGTATGGTGATGTAATCACTATTTTCTGGGAGGCTGAGGCAGGAGGATCTCAATTTTGACCCAACCTGGGCAACTTCGTAAATTAGTGAGGCCTGTCTCAAAATAAAATTATAATAATAAAAGGGCTTGAGATCTAACTCAGTGCAGAGGGCCTAAGTTCAATTCCCAGTAACACACACACACACATGCACACACACACACACGCACACACACATGCATATACACGTAAGTGTAGCTCATACAACAAAGATCGTGGTGGCAGCAAACAAATGTAGACATTGATTAAGACTCATTTCTTGTTAAAGCTGTTTAAAAAATAACACCAAAAAGCAAAGATGGTCTGTTCTCTCCTCTGTAATGGTTGGGACCATCCCACAGGGCCCTAGGGACTCTGTTCCCAAAAGGCTCCTCTCTTCTGATTCTGGTATAAGGAGAAAAGGAATAAAAGACAGGCAGAAGAAAGAAGAGAGAGAAATTAAAGGCCCCCCTGCTCTCCAGATCCTCATATTTGAAAGGTTCAGTGAGGCCTTCAAGCAATCAGATGCCACAACTTTTATTTTTAAACAGCTTTCAACTCTGAAGAAAGCACTGAAGTCACCTCTAAGGTCAGTGAAACTATTTGCTGTAGGGGAATTCACTGGAGGTGTGGGGGAGTTGCCATCTTCCTGGGTATCTTTAGTAAAAGCCTTGGTCATCAAAGCCATCCTGCAAAGCCCTCTGACTTCTGAGTGAAGGCCGGCAGTGTCTGTGGTCTGAAGTTTGATGGACAGGATGCTGGCTTTGCATTCAGCACAGCGGCAGCATGAACGCTCTCTGTGTGCAACATGTGCGGGTCGCTGAGATCCAGGGTGTGTGAACCCAGGCCCTACCCGCTTAGGACGCTCAGAGCACAGGCACTTTTCAGCCACAGTGGATCTTCACAGATGTATTCCCTTTCCTGACTGCTTGTGAATACACCAATGTGAGCGATACTGGTCCACCTCAAGGCATTGCATCTGAGAACGCTGTTGATTCTGAGACACATGCTGGATTTTGTGATTGCGGGACAAAACACAACAAGCAATTACATATATGCACAATTGTGAGGTGTTTTCAGGTGTCAGCTGTAAGTTTTGATAGAAAATTGTATTAAATCTCAATTACTTGGGAGGCAGAGGCAGGAAGAACACTAGTTCAAGGCCATCCTGGGCAACTTAGCAAGACTTGGTCTCAAATTATAAAAATGTTAGGGAGACAGCTCAGGGCTCCCTGGATACAATCCCCAGTACCCACCCCTCAAAGTAAAATCTCTTTTTTTTTTTTTTTTGGCAGAACCGGGGATTGAACTCAAGCCCTTGTGCTTGCCAGGCAAGTGTTTTTTTCTACTGAGCTATTTCCCCAGCCCCTCAAAGTAAAATCTTGATTAAAATAAGAGATTCAATCACATTAGTTTCCATTTTCAGTTGAATAAGAAAAAGTCAAAAAGATCCAATCACTCACCCAAAGTATCTTTAAAGACATCGCCATTCCCTTAATCAGCACACAGTGCTGCCTGCCACTACTGTGCCAGAAATAGGACCATGCTCAAGGTGGGTCCTGCACGGCCTGGTGTGCTCCGCCCCCTGACATGAATACCCTTCTGACAGGGAGGGAACTGGGTAGAGAGGCCCATGCAGATTTCCTGAAAATTTTAGTTTTCAAATGATGTTTTTCCTACAAATGTGGAAAGCATTTCTCTCTCACCTATTATCTTCGTGAGTCAAGAGACAGTGCCAGACAGGGGCTGGTCAGGACCATGAGAGCATTTACACTGACAGACCTCTTTAAGGCAGGTGCAGGTAAAAGGGGAAGAGAGGTGGGGGATTCATTCATTCATTCATTCATTCATTCATTCATTCATTCATTGTTCCATTCAGTAAATAGTGCTGCCTATTCAGTACCAGGATGCTTCTCTGCAGGCTGTGGAGAAAAATGAACAATATAGCCCCTATTTTCTGGAATATAGACCTGGAAGCAAAACAGCGTAGCTCCTTATTATCTATTAATTCAACCAATACTTAATAAGTACTAAGCACTGGAGAAACAGGGACACTGACAAGTTCTTACCCTTATGGAGTTTACAGGCTAGTGGTGAGGGACACCCATCCTAAACTCAAAATAGTATGAGTAATTTGTTAATTACCACCATGATTACTACAAAAGCGACGTACAATGTGCCAGGAGATTCAATTACAAGGGAAAGTGTTGGAGAATCAGCAAGAAAACAGGAAGAAAGCAGACCGGGAAGAAAATTACATTGAGGAAGGATGCCAGAGGCAGCATCTGGGCCCAGCTGGTGTCAGCAGAGCTCAGGGAGAGGCCAGACCCACCTGGAGGCTGGGCCCATCTGGAAGCTGGACAGGTGAGACAGGAGGAGCAAGCAAGCTGGCTCTCGGAGAGGTAAGAAATAGCTGCTTGGAAACAGGTGGAGGTTCTTGAGGCCACCTTATTCCCTTGACCCCCTTCTTTGGGTAACACTAGATATTTAACTCAGAGTCCTCACATTGATCTATATTGCCAGCCCTTCCTAAAAATTAAACAAGAGATCTCACTAAGTTGCCAAGTTGCCCAGGAGTGGCTGACACTTGCAGTCTTCCTGACTCAACCTCCTAGAGTACTGAGATTACAGGTGTTCACTACCATTCTGGGCTTGTTTCCCTGAATTTTTAAGACAAGTTCTCTGTGTAGTTTAGGTCGGCCTTGAACTCCTTATGTAGTCCAGTATGGCCTTAAACTCTGGAATCATCTTACCTCAGTCTCCAGAAGAATACTGGGATTCAGGTGTGCCTGGCAATTCCCTTGTGTCCTTATTAATTGAGAATATTGATTGAGTGTGCCCTGCTGAAAGCATTATATCATTACACTGATCCACTGAAATCAGTACTATTACCCCTACCCTGGTGGAGGGTCATCACTACACTGATGCAAAAAGCCAACACTCAGCACAATGATACTCCTGGGTGGCTGAGTGACCCGGATCTGCATCCTTGCTTAGCCACAGCATCCTCTACTGCCAGCCTCGGCTATGCCAAGGATGTGTTCTTCAAATAGCACATCATTTAACAGGAGAGGTTCCGAGGTGTGAACCACTTACGTGATCCCCATCATGCTGGCAGTGGATGCCAGGGGGGCGGTCTCTGAGGAAGAGGGCTCTTCCTGGCGCAAAGGGAACGCTGCTCTGCAGAGACAGTGGGTGAACTCACCCACTGGGATTTTCTGGAGGTCAGCAGACATTCTGGTGCAGTGTAGAGACAGGCTCCCCCTGCTGGCCAAGTACCACTCAGGTAGGAGCCAGGTGAAGGGCACACCAGGGCCTCCTGATGAGGAGAGTGAGAGTGAGACGATAAAATCATTCACTTAGTTGGTTGTTATTTGAGGCAGGGGCTTTGCTGTGTAGTTCAGGCTTGCCTTGAACTCATGGTGATCCTCCTGCCTCAGCCTCCCCAGTACTGGGATTATAGGTATGCATTGCCATGACTGGCTTTCATGTAATTTTTTTTGTTTAAGGGCAACACATCAGTTACATGTGTCTTTTAGACTCCCACGGGTGTCAACACGGCAAATAATAGGTTTAATCAAACTGGGGATTACAAGGTGAGTCAGAGACAAGTGGGAGTAGTTGATAGCCCAACAGCTCTGAGAACATTTCAGTCTTTATCCTTAGCGATGAAAATGGTATATCACACGGGCAAAAGGGCCTCAATTCTTACTAACAAATTCAGCCAAAATCAGTACAACTGATGCAGAACAACCTGGTCTGCAGGGAAAGAGACAGCACTATGGGCATGTGAATCAGCTCAGGGGTCCCAAGGAAACCTGCCCAGACAAGGTGATGCATTCCTGTGTCCTGTGCCTGCTGAACTCATTCTTGGGAACACGTCTCAGGGAAACAGCTCCAGAGGAATAGCAGTTAGCATGACTGTCTGTCTGCACGGGCTATAGGCTGGCTACCTCAGATCCTGCACTCTGAATGTTCTGTCACCAACAGAAAGCAGAGCTCTGGGTCTGGAACTTGGATTTCATACTAATTCTGCAATTTACTGGCTGTGTGGCTTTGGATGATTCACTAAGTCCTTCTGTACTCCGGCTCCCTCCTGGATAAAATAGGATATGGGGTTGTGTATTCAAGGTAGCCTCTCTGCAGTGCCCACGTAGTGCCCCACAGTGTTGCCAAAGGGTAGCAGTCGTTTGGGAGAGATGATTTGGGTGGATCCTGCTTGCAAAGGATGAGGTGGCCTCGGGAAATCTGTATTTTATCTCGAAGAGCCGATATCTTTGATTCTCAGTTTATTCTTTTTTATATTAATTTTATTGAGAATGAAATAGCATTGAGACAGTTTCAAAAATCAGTTTATTCTCATTATAAAGGGGTGGGGAGGCAGAGAGAAAGAAACAGAGAGCGCAAGCGCGAGCGAGCTGTCCCACAACTATTCAGGAGTACAGTAAAACGCACAGGTAAGGTCTTCAAGGTGTTAAATTCGTCTTTAGCTGAGAGGAAAATTCAGGTGAGGCTCTCACTCCCATCATAGCGTGTGAAGACTGGGGTGTTTTCAAGCGTGCACTTCTCGTCTGAAGTGCACATATTTGAGACCAGACTGGAGTTTTATAATCCGGAGTTGCAGAGGGTTGCTTCCCTTCTGAACGCGGGAACACCTGCACAAGGTGATAGTGACCTAGCAGGACAGGTCCCCAGGCCCTGCTGATAACCACTGCACCACACTGCCTCCCGCTGTTGCAGGAGTGAGGGGCTCGGAAGGGACCGGGCGGGCGCAGCCCCGCGCGCGACGGGTCGAAGGTCCTGAGCTCTCCCACCCGTTCCACTCCCGAGCGCGCCCCGCTGCCGAACCCGCTTCCGCCGGCAGGGGGCGCCGAGAAGGTGGGCGGAAGGCCGCGGTCCGGGTCGCCGCCCAGAGTCGGGACTCCACTGTCGAGCCCGGGGCTGTCGTCCATTCTGCGTCAGCGTCAGGGACCAGGGCTCGGCGAGATCCCGGCCCCACAGCCGGGGCGAGAGCCCCAGCCGCCGGCGCCACCAGCCCGGTCCGCGCCTGCCCGGAAGCGCGAGCGCCAAGGGGGCGGGGCCGGGAAGAGCTTCCGGGGGCGGGGGGCGCGG